ATATATATTTTAAGAATATATACAATATATATATATATATATATATATTAAAATAAGTAAAAATAAAAAATGCAAGACAGCCATAAATTAATATTTATAAAAAATATCAAATACAAAAATATATAAATATTTACAAATACAAATATGCTGACTTGAGTGTCAGTAAGCGGTTTTGTGATTGTCAAATAAGCCTTCTGCACTTCTTGGTTCAATGATGTCAAAGCTTATGTTAATATTTCAGCAACCTAGGTAGCCTGATTGGACCCAGGCTTCACTCATAATGATGACATCATAATCCATTCTGGAAGAAGCCTGAGCTCACAAATGACAGCTCTGCATTGCAAATGAGGTTTCTATTGAAATCTTAAAGAGGATGATGTTCGTTATGCTAATGAGATTTCCGGTCGTTGTTTAAAGACAGTGATAAGCCTTATGCAGAGATATGATAATGCCATCCAAAATGCTGAACCTAGTTTATGTGCAACCCGTGTGCAAAATATGACAGACAGTTTAACGAATGCAAAACTTGGGATGAGGATTTCTCAGAACATAATTTACATAGTGACTGCAGCAGAGCATGGGAACTTAACACACATCTACAGGCTCATCTTTGGCTCGTATTAATGCTGGAATGAATTTGCCAGTCAACATCAGAACAGCTGATTTACTACAACATTCATACATACTTGCTTCACAGCTCATATCTAAAAAAAGTTGTTTTAAAGTGTAGCGGAAGTGTCTAAATACAAATACCAAATCCAAATCACCCTCATATTTCCCTCAGCTGCTTCTCTTGGTAATACCGGTAATAAAAAAAAACATCTGTAAAAAATGAAAATGTCAACTATTGATCAAGAAAACATAAATTGCTTGACGTCAGAATATTTCACAAGGATTTAAGTCCACTAACAGTTATACAAAAACGTTCAGAAATGAAGACTCTTTTTTAATTTTGTCATTTGCTACGTGCTATTTTGGGATGTACCTTGAGATACAACTGGTTCAAATAATAGTTCACCAAAAAATATACTCCCCTTCAGGCCATCCCAGATGTATCATTATATCACTTGCTCACCAGTGGATCCTCTGCAGTGAATGGGTGCCGTCAGAATGAGAGTCCAAACAGCTGATAAAAACATCACAATAATCCACACCACTCCAGTCCATCAATTAATGTCTAGTGAAATGAAAAGTTGTGTGTTTGAAATCCATTGTTCAGATGTTCTAACTTCAAACCTTTGTTTCTCTATCCATAATATTGCTTTCTATAGTAAAAAGTTGTCTCATCTGAATCGGGAGAGAAATATGAAGAGATCAAGCACTGTTTACAAGCAAAAACAGTTCTAAAATATCTCTAAACAAATATGTCTGTGAATTTTGATGTGAGAGGATGGACATTTTCACTGGAGAAACAATATGATGGATTATGGACTCCAATATTTTGGTCAGAAGCAATGGTTTAAACAGTATAATGATGGATCTGTTCCTTATAAACACACAGCTTGTTACTTCACAAGACATTAACTGATGGACTGGAGTGGTGTGGATTAC